TAGCAGCAGTTTTCTTTAAATTATATTCTTGATACAACGTTATATTTTCCATGCATTGAATACCGGGTTGACAGAAGTCAGATTCTCGGGAGCCGGTTGCCCGAGCCGTCGAATGTTTATAGTCAATACAAACCAATATTGACATTTTCTTTGTCTACTAAACTGACAGCTAATCTCTTTGTGCTGAATACTCATTTGTGTTTTGTTACATTGCCATTTACTGCTTTCTGAGTTTTTCTTTAGCTCTTACACAATCACCATTCAAGCTTTAAATTAAAATTATGTAATATGTTATTAGGTACTTATTAGGTGTTTACCCTATGAAATCGCCGTTTTGTTGAAATGTCCACATTGAACTGCTAACTGCTATGGTTTGCCTTGGAATTCTAAAGTCAAATCAATTTTATATTCAAGATGTTAATCCTATTTTAAAATCAGTACATAAGTGTAGTCATTTATTACTTTGGGATTTGTTTTTCTGCAAAGTCACGACATTTATAACAGTGGACAAAAAAATTGTGTTATTTTTGAATATGAGTTCCGACACAATGTTCCGTAAACAATGGGTTGCGTATACGCAATATCTATGTAGACCTGGCATTATTAACGAACAAATGTGCGCTGTACTGTTCAGTCGATTTTATTGGGGAAATTTTGATCTCACAAATGAACCTCATGGCCGCACTGAGAAGAAAGTTGAAATTGACGAAATAAAGGCGTTAGTGGAAGCATCCGTCCCAAAATATACAGGTGAGCTAGCTTCGGATCTTGATGTGAGTCTTAAAGGAATATCAGATCTTTTGCAGCAAATCGGTAAAATAAAGATTCTTGACAAATGTCTAACCAATGATATGAGTGACGCACACCAAGAGACCCGCGATCAAGCGTGCATCATATTGCTGAATTGACATAGAAAGCAGGGAATTTTGAATTGAGTTCTTACCTGCAATGAGAAGTGTATACTATACGTCAACGCAAACGTTCATCACAGTGAACAGATCCTGGTTCCCAAGATAAGCATGTACCCAAAATTAAGATTAGCCCGAAGAATCTTATGGTGACAGTTTGGTGGTCTACTGCCGGTGTTTATTCTCAATAGCTTCTTACCAATCTGGTGCCACAGTTACTGTGGTGACCGCTGTTGTCAAGGATTACAAATTATGATGGATAAGCTGGCACTCAAACAACCTAGATTGGTAAACTGCTGTTCGCCATTGCTACTGCATGACATCGCCCGACAGTATACTGCAATACATAAGTTGGCTAAATTTGCAGAACTATAGCTAGGGACACTTTCTCATCCATCATATTCTCCAGGTCTTACCCCATCAGACTACCTCTTTTTTATAATTTAGATAACTGTTTGTTAGGCAAAAAGTTTAATTCAAAATGAAAGAATTTATCGATTCTCGTGCGGCAGACTTCTATAACAAGGGCATTAACAAACTGTCCATAAAATTGCAAGAATGTGTTAAAACCTAAGGCAAGTGTTTTAGTTAATTAATATGTTTTATAAAAAATTATTAGATGCGACCCTTGAACTAAAACCTAAATTGTGTGAAAAGAGGTCAGCCTTTTCACATAATTTAGATTTTTGGTGGGATCTGATTAATTTTTATAATCTAAATAAATACATTAACTTCAACTTTTCCTTATATTTAGGCTTTACTGCGTTTTTAAAATTTTAAACTATAAGAATTAAGTGACTTTTTACTTAAAACGAATCGCACCAATAACTGTGTCAACATATTATTACAGATTTCGACATACAATTTATAGTTTTAGATTTTTTCATTTGTATACGCCTAATGACTCTACCTTAATGCATTGCAACCTTAATGATTTTGTCACTAGATCTGGTGACTTTGACCCGCTTTACAGTTTATTTCTGTCATTTAGCAAATTTTATTAATATTTTTAATTAATTTTCATGACATTTAAAATACATATGTATTTTCTATGGAATATTTATTAAGTATATAATTTCCCATATTTTCCAGCTACTCACCTGGGTTATTTTCATTAAATACTAGTTATGGATTTTGAATAATCGTTTCAAACATAATGCTGATAATTTATTCAAAGCACAAAAGAACATTGCCATATTTCGTGATTCAGCGGCAGCGAAAAAGTCTTCAAAAGCAAAACCTTCTTTACCTTTTTAGAGTTACTTAGTTTTTACCTTTGAAGACTTTTATTTCTAAAGATAGTTATTGTTCAATCAAAAAGAAAAATTTAAAGGTTTTTGACATATTACGTATATGTTGTTATTTACTGAAATAACTTACATTTAGCGATTTCTGGTGATTTTCGCACAAATTAATTTAGCTTCAAGCTTTTAAGTCACTATAGTAATCTAGTGATTCATTCAGTCAGTGAGGGATGAACATGGTACTTTTCAGACCTTAATAACTAAGAAGTAATTAAATTAATTACATTAAATTTCTTATCCGAGTTTCAGGTATTGTAGAGGTCTTATTATACATGCGAGATTGCAAGTGTACCTACAGGTGTAATAGCTTTTGAATTATTCGGGGTCAAAAGTAGCCCGAAATGGTTCGTGTAATATTCCACACTGCCGGCGCTTCGCCCTTTTCTGTTCTGAACTTGTCTGACACTGCTGTGTGTTTAGATCAAAAATAATAATGAAAATTCTCTTAGCCAATTTTAACCTCAACGACTGAGTCAATCTAAAGTGTAGTAGAAATTCGCAGTAAAAAATTTTTAATTAAAAAACATGCGAGAGTGTCATGGAACACTCGGTTGGAACGACGTTTCCTTCGTAGTATAATATTATTGATAAACGTATTATATTATTGATTAACAAATACAAATATCTAAATGAAATTACTAATGAAGCGTTTCATGACAAGATAAGAAAAAGTGCGAGGGAGATGGATATTATTCCATCTCGCTCTCACTATAGAAAGGGGGTCGTGACGGAAAAATCTTACACTTTTTCTCGCCTAGCCCCATCCGCCAAATTCGTACCGTGTGATAAGGAACTTCAACGAAGAAAAAATCGATAAATATGATGGAAATATACTATTTCATTTTCAAATTACTGTATCCCATATGATGTAACATGTGGTGATAGATATCTAACTATCCACACAATCAATGAGAATGTTTTTATCAATAACATTCTCGTTAGTTTCGGCCTCTACGCGTGGGCTTGGCTGACTGGTCCACTTTCGTAAAGTTCGCATGCGATCGCAGACGCATCGACAATGTTGCACCACAACATTCTGCACATCACAGATATTACTAGAAAGCGATAAAGGCGAATCATGTCTGTGGGACACGAGACAGGAACTATGAGTGGAGGATAAATCTGGCTTAAATTTAAGTAGAAAGTAAAGCAATGACCTAAAGTTTAACGCAAAATATGACCCACGTGTGGTATTTTATATACCGTCTAAATAATTAATTTCACCTTTAATACAATATACAATACAATACACATCTTTTACAACTTACTTTCAATTAAATGATTTGGAACTAAAATATAAATAAAATTACATTGCCCTCAATTGTATAAATTCTAACGTGACGTTGATGATTTATATATAACTTAAATATTATTGCCATGATCGCTAATAGAACACTTATATTAGGATATTTACGCGAAAACTACAGCATCATTCATCATTACAGCCCTTCACAAGTCCACTGCTGAACATAGCCCCCCCCCCCCCCCAAGGAATGCCACAAAGCACGGTCCTGAGCCACCTGCATCCATCGACTTCCTGCATATCTTACCAGGTCGTCACTCTATCTAGTGGGGTACGCCCCACACTTCGTCCGCCGGTACGAGGCCGCCACTCGAGAACCTTACTTCCCCATCTGCTGTCGGTTCTTCGAGCTATATGGCCGGCTCATTGCCACTTCAGCTTACTAATCCGTTGGGCTATGTCGGTCACTCTGGTTCTACTGCGGATATCCTCATTTCTAAGTTTATCACGCAGAGAAACTCCGAGCATAGCCCTCTCCATAGCTCGCTGAGCGACCTTGAGCTTCCTCATCCGGCCAGCAGTGAAGAACCACGTCTCAATACCATAGGTCATCACATTGATCGAAAACTACACATTGATAGAAACCTGTCTTTTCAGGAAATCATTCTCCCAGTGACTAGAAAAAACGACTAATAAAGTACTCAAAACGTCGCGAACATAAAAATAAGCTAATTAAACGCGATAAAATCTACATTCACTTCTCCTAGGTAAATGTCAGTGTATTTTACCCATTGATGAAATAAATAAAACGATGAAATGGAGCATCGTTTAGTGCAAAGTAATGTACTACAATTAGCAGCGCGCATGCCAAGCTTGCCAACTAACAAAGCAATCTAACGACAGTGCCTTAATGCACCAGTAACATATAGGGCTAATAGGGATCACTAATCACTTGGAACTAATGTCTACGTTTATAAATTATCCAATTTCGTTAAGTATACAGCGTATAGTTTGTACTGAAATAGCAACATTTTAATCAATATTCTTTATGAGAGACAATGAAGTAAGAAATTATGTTTTTTATAGGATAAGGGTGACAAGCGAGCGCACAGTCCACCTGATGGTAAATGGTTGCTGTGGCCCATAGACATCTACATCTATCCTCGTTTGCGAATCATAATGCAGATGAGCTGTCAGCAGTGAGGACTAAGATGGAATGCCTCTTTTCCAGTAAAAAGAGTCTCCGTTTCTCTTCACTCATCATACGAAACACAGCAGCATTACGCTGCCATTTTACGCTGGTATCCTCTTAGACGTAGTTTTTCCCCGGTCAAGCCGACCCATTCGTGCTACAACTATATTGTATACTATATAGCTGCGACATGGCTCTACCACGTTTAAAAATTATTAATATGTATTTGTAAAAGCGACTGTTAAGCAAGTATTTAATCATATTATACAGCGAGTGAACTCAAAACAATACAGCGTTCTCATTCATCGGACAGTTTCAATTCAATAATTAAAACGCTCGTTTCCTGGTTGCAGGGCTGCGCCGGGCGAGTGCCGACGCCCGTTATAATGTGACCGGCGCACGACGACGCGCGTCTCCCCTCAAGGTAAGCTTGTCTATCTCTTATAAATTACAATATACATGTTATAGGATGCCTGTACAATCTCTCAACATTTATTCAATACGGCACACAATGCTGGCAATGTGTTTCATTGACATATATAATATATAGATAAATGAATATTACACATATACATATAGATAATATATAGATAAATGAATATTATAATAATCATTACCCTTGTTAGTATACAAAAATGTATGTTCAAATGAAATTAATAATTTCCACAGATTTGTTATCAATTTTTTTCAAATTATAATAAATCTGTGATTACACAAATACACAGTCACTTACTTATGGTAGTTAAATTAAAGTGAGGCTGAAGAAGCATGAGAGTAAAATTAATGCTAGAGTAATATTGTAATTGAGAAGTATATGTTAAGATTGACTAAATGATATTTTGGCAATTTATGCTCATAATAAAAGAAAATTGTGCAAGATGTTGTGACCAAGATTAAGAAAGGAATGCTTCGAAGGTTGGTACACGTAAAAAGAGTGACAAAGCATTTATGCTGCAGTAGTGAGCGGAAGGGACGCCCTAAGCGGCAGTTTATCCACTAAATTAACAATATATTGATATAGGCCAAACTATGATTACCCTTTGCTAACGAGCATGTATGCGTAGGTATAAACGAAACAAAGATTTGTCAGGATCGTGCCAAATGGAAGTACTTAGTATCTAGCTACCGCTTTGGGTGACAGATGTTAATTATTATATATGATCGATAGGATCCGCCTCAACAGCGCCACCTACTAGGTCCACTTGTGAATCGAAACCATTTTCAAATCAACTTAATCACACACACAAAATTTCATCAAAATCGGTCCAGCCGTTTAAGAAGAGTTCAATCACACACACAGGACAGAAAAGAATATTCAGGAAAGAAAATTCAGGAAAGAAAATTCAGGAAAGAAAATTCATCTCTCGAATTAACTTTTAAATCAAGCCAGATAATATTAAAACAAGTAGTAAAATTCAATATTTTGTACAACCGACTTCAATATAGATTATTAAGGATAACTCAAAACTACTGGTAAGACCTTGATCAAATCTATATGGGACCACGTGAGTAGCACCAGCTTTCAAATAAAAAAAGAATCATCAAAATCGGTTCACCTAGAAAAATGTTATGAGGGTTACCTCATAACTTTTTTCTTGGTGAACCGATTTTGTGTGTGTTAACACATAAAAAACATACATTCGAATTGAATACCTTCTCATTTTTGAAGTCGGTAGAAAAATGAAAATTATCTAGTTCCCATTAAATATTTATATAAAATAAAAATACTGTACCATTGAAAGTTCTGAAAATAGAAATAATCTGCACGCAGCTATATCATTTTATTTATTTTTAAGACACCTACTAGCGAAAATGAGCGATTACATTTTAGGCTGTGAGTGCCCCGGGCGGCAGCCGGGAACAATTGATGCTATAACACTGCACAAACTAACAAGAAGTCCACACTGTGCTCACCACAGAGTACTTTGTGCTCACGTCACGCACAACGCGCACGCATTTGGTGTATTTCGGTCATAAATCCTTTGACCTAATCTCTCACTCACACTAACAAATCTTGTAGAATTGAAATACAGCACACAAATCACTAAGTATGTAGATTTTTTAATATATTTACATAACATTAGAATATACAATTTTAATTATCATAACAAAAAATACTTAGTTAGGTATACTAAAAACTTAGATTATCATATTACTAGCGATCCGCCTGGTTTCGTACGGTTGATTTCAGAACCTCAACAACTACGCCACCTACCGGGTTCAATTGTGAATCCAAACCATTCTCTAATCAACTTAATCACACACACAAAATTTCATCGAAATCGGTCCAGCTGTTTATGAGACATTCAGTCACATACACACAGATAGAATATTGAATATATAATATGCATGTATTATACATATAAAATAAATGATTTTTTTCTGTCAATTGATGAAAACCGCATCAAAATCCGTTGTGTAGTTAAAAGATCTAAGCGTACAGATGGCGGAAAGCGACTTTGTTTTATACTATGTAGAGATATATAAATTGTATACATAGTAGAGATATTTGTAATAATGATAGAGACATTATGTTTCCGTCTAGGGATCTAGGCTATATTTTATCCGAAAAACTTAATTGATTAACATTAATGGCTTATGACTACATCAAATCTAAATAACACCACATTAATAGATCATATCTAGACGAAGTCAAAGCGGACCGTTTATTATTACTCTCTTTTTCTTTTTCTAAAATAAAAACGTTATCCCCACACTAGATATTCTCCTGTATCGTGGAAGCAGTTAACAAATACAAATTGCACAAGGGCAACATCCAGACACGGAACAAGTATTTGTAGGCCATACAAATATTTGTTCCGTGCGGGATTCGAACCTGCGGCCTGCAGCGCAACAACTCATTGCTAAGTCACTGCGCCACGATGCCGTCAAATCGTTAGTTATTAATAATATGTGTTTTATATCCTTGTTAAGTTTCATAACTCCAAATCAAATTTTAATGAAAAGGCGAGCATTTCCATCGAAAACAAATTATACATTTTATACGTAGTAGAGCAACGCTGCAGCTATACTCGTATTATGGTTGTAGCACAAATGAGCCGGCTCAACCAGGGTAAGACCACGCTCTCACAGAATACCTGCTGTGTTTCGTATGGTGAGTGTAGAGAACCGGAGACCCTTTTTGCTGGAAAAGAGGAATTCCATCTTAGTCCTCGGGTCTGACAACGCATCTGAATGTTGATTCTTAATCGAGGATTATAAGATATAAGATAAATTTTGATATCTATGGGCCACAGCATCCACTTACCATCAGGTGGAGTGTATGCTGGTTTGTCACCCTTATTCTATAAAAAAAAACAATTTCAGTGCAATCTATGGAATCATTTCAATCATAAGTTCGAAAATCATTGAAATTAATACCAGCCTTATATACCGCAGTTATGTCAACGCATTGCTATTTGTTTAATTTGTACATAGACTGAAGGAAAAATACTCTGCTCTTAATAAAAAATATATTATTGTTCTAAAACGCCTGCGAACAAAATACTTGCAATGATAACGGACGCATGTGGACGTCCTCAGACACTCGAAAAGTTTTCATGGTTGTCCGAGTTTAATGACCGACTGAATCAAAAATAAGTACAAGTAAAATTATTCAACAAGCATTGAGTTAAATTTATCGCAAAAGCAAGTCTCACAGCAATCGAGTAACCTTTAAAGGTTTGATAGTCCGAGTGTTCGCTACAGGGCGCGGTTCTCTTGACCATGAGACATGAGACCTCGGCGAACGAATTCTTTTAATTACACTAACACAATAAAAACATTACCAATTAACTATTTACTAACTAATTATAGTCTATAAAAGTCCTCCCCATAGCCTCTAAAGGGGGATACTTGCCAAAGTTGTCACGCTTGGTAAGTATTTATTAGGTTTTTATTTTCTACTTGTTAACAGGGATAAGACGCTACTGTCCATCTCCTGGTTTGTTCGCTGTCGCTTCTTACGACACCCACGGGATGATTATCCCCTACATCACGTAGTGAATATTCTTACACCGCCACTACACGGTCATAAAAACATATGCGTAGTCCTGTTTTACTATCGAGCGTAAAACGTAGACCTTAGACTTACGAATTATTATTTTAAATGTACATAATATTATAATCCTACATGAAGCAGACCTGCATAAAAATCGTAATAATATTTTATAATGTGCTTTGTGCACATACCATTTTAGTTTCATACTTGTATAAGTTTGTGTATTTATTAACTCAAAATTTCAATCTATAAGTATTCAGTTTAAATAGAAATTAATATGTGATATAATGAGTGTCGTGGAACTCTGTTGAAACGAAGTTCCTTTCGTAATATATTATTATTGATAAACTTATTATATTATTTCATTAACAAATACAAAGAAATGAATTACTAGCGTCTATTAAAATGAAGCGTCATTTAAAATAAAATAATATTTCTTTCATTGGAAGATAAGAAAAAGTGCGAGAGAGATGGATATTATTCCATCTCGCTTCCTCATAGGCGCCAAGGCCTACGTCAGAAGGAGTTGTGACGGAAAAAATCTTACACTTTATCTCGCCTAGCCCCCATCCGCCAAATTGGTACCGTGCGATAAGGAACCTCGTTCCAATAACGAATTATAAACACATCCATTACAGGTACAACAGGTAGAAAATATTATTATGAGCAACTTTTAATAAAATGAATTGATACGAGTATTACTTAGTTGCGAGTCGTTAAACGTTAACGTTGTTGGTTAAATTATTTTTCAGAATGCATCATTTTATTCTTTATCAGATCGTAAATAATCCTTTTATAGAGCGGTCTAAAATTTCAAGTATAAAATAAAATTATGTAACACCAATAAATTTAAGCATACTTTAAACACTCATCAAATAATAATAACGTCCTCCAGGTTAAATTTCGATCAAGGTGATCAGTCTCAACGGAGACAAGCCATCTGCTCACTGCGACAGGATTATAGTGACGTGCACCTTCACTGTCGTAGTCCAATGGGACGACAATCCGAGGATCAGATGTGGAGATCAGGTGCACCACCAACGGCTTTACGTACTTTCTGAGGCACGGGGGTGAGACACCGGCAACTTTTTGACACCGGGCAGCTACTGAGAATTTCTCGATAGAAAAACCCAAAGCTTATTTTGACTCAACTCGGGAGTCGAACCTCATGATCAACAGTCGCGGCTACACCAACAGCTAGACCAACGAGGCAGTCAATTCAATACATTTTCTGTTCAGTTACGTTCGCACGGTAATTAACAACATTAAACCGTCCATTTAAAAGCATGTCTAGTAGTTGGGGTGTAAATTGAAAGAGCCCTAACAAATCCTAGGCCTTGACAACAACTTCCTGTTTAACTTCTCATTTCGAAGTGAACTTATAAGTGATTGAAATTTTACTTACAGGTGTCAAAGAACGTTTG